TGTCATTCTATACTATGACATTTTTTAGCATTTTTATGACATACTATACTATGACGTTTTTTGAAAATTTTATGACATACTATACTATAACGTTTTTCGAAAATTTTATGACATACTTTAGTATGACATTTTTTGAAAATTTTATGTCATTCTATACTATGACATTTTTTAGCATTTTTATGACATACTATACTATGAAGTTTTTTGCAATTTTTATGACATACTATACTATGACATTTTTTTTTACATTTTTATGCTTTACTATACTATGACGTTTTTTGACATTTTTATGCCATACTATACTATGACACCTTTATGCCTTATTATACTAATGTTTTTTGAGGATGTTATACCATACTGTACTATGACGTTTTTGTTTTACATTTTTATAACATACTATACTATGACATTTTTTGAAAATTTTATGACATACTATAGTTTGACATTTTTTGAAAATTTTATGTCATACTATACTATGACATTTTTTAGCATTTTTATGACATACTATACGATGACGTTTTTTTTTACATTTTTATGCCTTACTATACTATGACGTTTTTCGGCATTTTTATGACTTACTATACTATGACGTTTTTTGAAAATTTTATGACATACTATACTATGACGTTTTTTGAAAATTTTATGACATACTATAGTATGACATTTTTTGAAAATTTTATGTCATACTATACTATGATATTTTCTAGCATTTTTATGACATACTATACTATGACGTTTTTTGGCATTTTTATGACTTACTATGCTTCGACGTTTTTTGACGTTTTTATGCCTACTATAGTATGACGTTTTTTGACATTTTTATAACATACTATACTATGACATTTTTCGGCATTTTTATTACTTACTATGCTTTGACGTTTTTTGACGTTTTTATGCCTTACTATACTATGACGTTTTTTGACATTTTTATAACATACTATACTATGACGTTTTTTTAAACTTTTATGATATAACATACTATGAGATTTTTTGGCATTTTTATGACATACTATACTATGACGTTTTTTTAAAATATTTTTATGCCTTACTATACTATGACGTTTTTTGGCATTTTTATGACTTACTATGCTTTGACGTTTTTTGACGTTTTTATGCCTTACTATACTATGATGTTTTCTGACATTTTTATAACATACTATACTATGACGTTTTTTGAAAATTTTATGACATACTATACTATGACATTTTTTGAAAATTTTATGTCATACAATACTATGACATTTTTTGGCATTTTTATGACATACTATACTATGACGTTTTTTTTTCATATTTTTATGCTTTACTATACTATGACACTTTTATGCCTTATTATACTAACGTTTTTTGAGAATGTTATACCATACTGTACTATGACGTTTTTTTTGACATTTTTATAACATACAATACTATGACATTTTTTGGCATTTTTTTGTCATACTATACTATGACGTTTTTTGACATTTTTATGACATACTATACTATGACGTTTTTTTTACACTTTTATACCATACTGTACTATGACATTTTTTTTTACATTTTTATAACATACTATACTATGACATTTTTCGGCATTTTTATGACATACTATACTATGATGCTTTTTTTTTTACATTTTTATGCCTTACCATACTATGACGTTTTTCGGCATTTTTATGACATACTATACTATGACGTTTTTTTTACACTTTTATACCATACTGTACTATGACATTTTTTTTTACATTTTTATAACATACTATACTATGACATTTTTTGAAAATTTTATGACAAACTATACTATGACAGTTTTTGGCATTTTTATGTCATACTATACTATGACATTTTTTGGCATTTTTATAACATACTATACTATGACGTTTTTTTTTAACATTTTTATGCCTGACTATACTCTGATGTTTTTTGACATTTTCATAACATAATATACTATGTCGTTTTTTGAAAATTTTATGTCATACTATACTATGACATTTTTTGGCATTTTTATGACATACTATACTATGACGTTTTTTGGCATTTTTATGACATACTATACTATGATATTTTTTGGCATTTTTATGTCATACTATATTATGACATTTTTTGGCATTTTTATGACATACTATACTATGACGTTTCTTTTTACATTTTTATGCCTTACTATACTATGATGTTCTTCGGCATTTTTATGATTTACTATGCTTTGACGTTTTTTGACATTTTTATAACATACTATACTTTGACGTTTTTTGACGTTTTCATGCCATATTATACCATGACGTTTTTTGACATTTTTATAACATACTATACTTTGACGTTTTTTGAATATTTTATAACATATTATATCATGACATTTTTTGAAAATGTTATGACATACAATACTATGACATTTTTTGGCATTTTTATGACATACTATACTATGAAGTTTTTTTGAAATTTTTATGCCTTACTATACTATGACGTTTTTCAGCATTTTTATGACTTACTATGCTTTGACGTTTTTTGACGTTTTTATGCCTTACTATACTATGACGTTTTTTGACATTTTTATAACATACTATACTATGACGTTTTTTGAAAATTTTATGACATACTATCCTATGACATTTATCGGCATTTTTATGACATACTATGCTATTTCGTTTTTTTTTTACATTTTTATGTCTTACTATACTATGACATTTGTCGGCATTTTTATGACTTACTATACTATGACGTTTTTTGGCATTTTTATGACATACCATGCTATTTCGTTTTTTTTTACATTTTTATGTCTTACTATACTATGACATTTGTCGGCATTTTTATGACTTACTATGCTTTGACGTTTTTTGACATTTTTGACAGTATAGTTGTTAGTACTGATGCTTCATAAAGAGAAGGTTGTGAGTTTGAATCCCAGCCTTGGCCTTTCTTTGTGGAGTCAGCATGATCTTCCTGTGGCTGTGCTTTTTTCATGTCCAAGGACATGCGCAATAGGTTAATTGGCAACAGTACCTGACATTTTCATGCTTCAATATACTATGACATTTTTTGATATTTTTATGCCTTTATTATGAGTTTTCATGCCAGTTCTTGTCACTCCAGTTACTGAAGGCCATCGTCAGATCCCTCTACTCCTCTTCCCGCCTGTCCATCCAAAATATTTTCTGAAATCCTGGCCCTGGTTTTAGTCAAAATGTTATGTTTTTCATACCATACATTCATAGTACCTACACTTTTCTTTGTCAGTCGTCACAAGATGCAGTATGTGAACATATCCATAATGAAGTTTCCTTTGAGCGAACAACACAGGCATGGCTAACTTGCAAAAGGCTCCTCAGATTGTGAGCCTCTAAGTCATCACACATGCCTCTGTGGAGCATCAAGCCTTTCAACTACAAAAGCCTCATCAAAAAGAGGTATGAAAAAAAGAAAATCATCTTTTCTCCTCCTCCCTTTTCCAACCCCCTCGCTAGTTCCTTCAGCTCCCTAAATGCGCAGAGAACGAGGCACCACTTTTTGAAATCGTCGATCAGAATTGTCAGATGCTTGGTTGTTGTTTGCCAGAAATAACCTCTTTGTATTTACTTAATTCTCTCCCCATGTTCAGATGGACTGAAAGAAATCCCTTCAGTCTTTTAAGGAATTGAATGTCAATTTTATTTTCAGCAAAATGATAAAAACATCATTTGCACAATTCTGCCTCTTCAAAATAAATAATAATACATATCGGTTGTACATGTCGACACCCAATTTTAACATAATTTCTTTAAGCTGGAAAAAAAATTGGCACAATATGATTATCATACAGTGTGTCCTTTGACCATCAATAAACAAACCATCAACATTATTGGTTTCATTTCTGAATGACAATACTGTATATGCTGGACTCTGCAAACTACAGAAGCAAAATTCATTTACTTACAAACTGCAACTTCACCCATGTAAGGACTGTCACTGTTCAGAAACAATTTTTTTTTTTTCTAGAGTCAAGGTGGCGTGAATTTTGCAATCAAGCACGACGAGGACAGATCCTTCAGCAAAGCTTTCTGATGTAGCAGACGTCCCCAGCTCCCCCACCCTCCCCCACCCCCTTGTACAAAAGCAGAACAACTCAATCCTGACATTTTATAGCTCAGAAATCATACATTGCACTTGGCAATAAAAAGGCGGAAAGAAAAAACAGACTCAGACAAACACTACATTGCAACATCTGCAAAATGTATTGTTAGGAGAAAAAGAGAAATTATATGCTTTCCTGTTTCACCCAGTGGAGACATCAAACTGACAAGAGAGTCATTCTTTTTATTATTTGCACAACCTATGTCTTCACATCACTTCCTTAGCACATCTACTACTTGTTTATATTGTATGTGCGCAGTTGCACTTTTCACATAAGTGTTGAGAGGTATGACTGAGTCCATAAATAATGTGGCTCTGTCTTATGAAAAACAGCCCCTCATTACCCCCTGCACCACAAACAAACAGAAAAAACAAACAAACAAACAAACAAAAAAAACCCCATAGAAATCGTTTTCAAATTTCATATGAACAGTCAAGTGACTACTGATTAGCCGCCAGGGACATAACATTTCATGAGGAGAAACTTTTTATGTTTTCTTTTTAGCACAAAGATAGCAAAGGAATGCATCAAAGCAAGAGTGCTGGGCCCGTGCCCATTGCTGGAATGAAAGGACAGGTGCCCAACCCCTCCCCCGTAAAAATGCTCCAACATGTATGCATACTGCAGTCAATGGTTGGACTCAAGCCCAAAATCTGGAACCTTTAATGTCTTTTTGCACACAAGGTTTCCTCCTCACTCAAGCCACTTTTGAAGTCTGTGTCGAAACTCACCATGGCACGCTTTTGAAAATCCATACTAGGAGGTAAACAAACCAAAAACCTTTGAAGTCAAAGTGTTCATCTTTCAGTCTCTCTTGTGTTGTCTTTGAATCTTTTCCTCCAGTGCACTAAGGCAGACAAAATCATTTTCTCTGACAATAATTTACTCTTATTTAAATGTTAAGAGAGACATTTAGGGGCTATGAGAAGACACTGGTGCCGTCGCTGTTGCCGTACAGGTCGGCCAGCTTTTTGAAGCGTGGTCCCCAGTTGGTGAGATAGTCATAGTTCTGATCTGAGTCTGTACTTAGTGACTCCAGTGAGCTTAGTGACTCTGCTACCGAGCCGCTGCCTTCAAAAGCGTATGTCTGCAGAGAGTCGTACGGGGGAGCTGACGGGTCCACATCAGCATCTTTAAGTCGCTCCCAAATAAACTCTCGAAACACCACATTGTCCGGCAGGGACTTGTAAGAGGGGCGTGTAGCTGATGTGTAATGAAAGAAGGTAGGTGTGTCCGGTGTGACATCTCGCCGTACGCTGGGGTCTCTAATGACGTTCAGGTTACGAAGGGTAACCATGTCGAAGGCCTCCGTGTCCTCCTCTCCCCCGCCCTCGTCGTCATAACGGACGATGTTCTCTCTGATGTCTCTCTCCTCCTCAAGAATCAGAGGCTCCTTCCTCCTCCGACGCATTGTCACAATTAGCAGAACCATCACTGCAGAGAAAGAGAGAGATGTATGAGTCAGTATTGACTGACAACAGCCGCACTTCCTGTGCCAGTCAGCTGAAAAGATGCAGAGATATGTGGCTTTTCAAAGAGCCAAATACATTGTCAGAGTGATTCCCAGCCGCAGACACTTGTACCACAGAGAGAACGTGCACAGTGGTTTAACTAAATAGAAAAAATATATATTGCACACCGTATATTGAAGTTAAGAGTGTGTAAAACCTAGTTAACAAGTGAGCAGAGAGGTTGAAATTTAGTTTAGTAAGCTAGGAGTGTAGGCCGGTTGAAACTGTCAGCAATGAATACAGTTCAAACAGTTAGCTAAGTGGCTAATGGATAAACAGTTAAAATAGCTGAAAGAAAATGATTAAAATTGTTAGCTAAAAGAAACCGATAAATGGATGCAATACATGCTAAAAGCAAGGATAAAGGATACAAGGATAAACAGTTGAAACAGTTCAATGTAAATGTTTGAAATAGTCAGCAAAGCAATGGATAAACAGTTAGCATCAGTTAGCATAACATTAGCTAAAAGTTATGACTAAATAGTTAAAAGAGTTAACCTAAGTAAACAGTTTTTAAATAGTTAGCTCAAAGGTATGAATAAATAGCTGAAAGTAATGAATAAAGTTGAAATGTTTAGCTATTGAATGATTGAAATAGTTCACTGAAAGTAATAGATAAATAGTTGAAATAGATGCTAAAAGTAATGAATAAACAGTGGAAATAATTAGCTAAAATTACAGATAAACAACAGTTAGCTACAAGAATAAACAGTGGAAACAGTTTAATGTAAATGATTGAAATTGTCAGATGAAAATAATAGAAACACAGTTGAAATACTTAGCTAAAAGTAGTAAAGTAGTAAAACTAATGGATTATTGATTGAGACATCGACCTTCAGCTTGTGGTGCAAATGCAAACTTGACCAAACCACCCACAGACAGTTTAAACATTACAGGCTAATGATATCCACCATTACATAATTAACTGTTAAATAACATCCAGTTTAGAAAACCAGTTAACCACACTTGCCGGGGGGGGGGGGGGGGGTCTGTCAAAAAAGGTTGAGAACCACTTCAGTGACAGTGCTTTGCAAATTCTATCAGAGTTTACTAAAGTAAACCTGCAATGTAATATATTGTGCTCCTCTGTGGTTTCCACCACCTACATTTTGCTTCAAGACCCGTACAAAACTCCTCCAAACTGGAATCCATGGCCCTCTGAGATCTTACCAGAAGCCCTCCTCCAGCCCCGGCTCCCTCTCCCATACATTATTGCTGAAAATAACTCTACGCCCAAGCAAACTGGCAAATGTCTAATGATCCTCTATCCATCAATGTCAAGCTGGTGCCAGTGAAATATCGTTCCGTGGGCCCATATTTCTTTTCCTTCTCGGCGTTGAGCTACTGCAGGCGGCAGAGAAAGAGGCCCAGGAACCAAATTCAAACACCACTTCACACTCTCTAATAAGGGAGCAAATGGAAGAGATGGAAGGGAGGAAAGTGTCACATGGAAAGGCTGCAGGAGATGAATGGGCAGCTCTCTGTTGGCTATTTTGTGACTGCTGGCACCCTTCAACAGCAGCACTAGTATCACCACTCAACAGTTTTTTGTGAAATACTTGGAATAGTCCATCCAGTCTAAATGCACTACTAATATCCATGATACTTTTTTAGTGCTTTGAGACAGAACACCAAATATTTCTGTGGAAGATTGTTTCCTCTGATTTTAGGAACTTGAGTCACTTTAAATTCTTTTCGATTCAGTAAGGCTTCTACAAAGTGAATTACAAAGTGGCACGTTGAAATAGAATATTCTCAGTGCTTTCCAGCAAAGCTCTTTAGGGTTTAATGCCTAGAAGACAGCCACGATGCGTGACAGACTGGAAACGGGCCAACATCCAATCACGTCCTACTAGGATGAGCAGGTGGATGGCCATGCATACAAATACTGGAGCCTGTGTCAGGTACCAAGGGCCCGGTAAGAAATGATTTCCAGCCCAGACAGTTTAGCAAACACATAACCATGATACGACAGGAGCCCCACTCTTCATAACACACTTTACTGATGATGTACACTAAATGGAAAAACAGAGGGGAAGATCAGTTTAGTGTTCTAGAGGCTTTTGCTGTAATTGAATTGTTTAAATGATCTACCCCGCGCAATCGATAGTGAACAAGGTGAGTTTTTCTGCGCTGCCCTTTTCTTACCAGCATGCATCACTGAAAGCACTTTCTCATTAGTGTAATTTCTTTTTTTTTGGTGCGCTGTGTGATTCTGATTATTCACTCATTTTGTCACCAACACACTTCCTGTCTTTTTGCTACGGTGCCGTTTCTAATAGAAGTCTCAATCAGCAACTGTTACACTGTCGGAAATTAAAGGAAGTTTTATCTTTCAATACTGATTCCTGGGGAGAAAGATCGTCTCTTTTCTCGAGCAGCCTTTACTATGAATGATAACTGGTTCTACATAAACACCAAATTTCTTTTTACCAGTTTTGTTTATTTTACTAGGTAATGAGAATATTTCACTCCTTTCAAGTGGGCAGGGCTCAGTCGCAGGAAGATGATGTCATGTACTTCCATAAACCAATCAGGATTTAGCAGCATTTGAATTCACTGTGGTGTTATTGTTGCTTATATAACCAAGCTCAATCAAATCTGATTTCGCATGCTCCTTTTGCAAGTCTTTTTGAGAGTTTTACACTACATCACCTGACTTTCCTCTTCGCCTCCGTCACAGTTAAACATAGCTATTAACCTTTTTCCACCAAAATTAGTGGGCATATTTTAAAATGCGATTAAACCTGCTGATAAAAGCCGATTGACCCCTTTTTCAAGTTTGCCTTTCTACAGCGCACACACACACAGATGCAGTGCAGGAGGAAGAATGAGCTGCTAGCCGCTGTGCAAACTGGTTGTTTCACGTCTCATCCCCGGGTTGGAGCTCCTTGTAAAAGCGTCAGAGCCTCAGTGTGAGACGCTTCGATCGATGATTGTGTGTTTTTAAAAGAAAAAAAAAAAAACTTATTTCGGGGCGGCAGCTCACTCTTCCATCCTGGAGGGCAGTGTGTGGTGGTGTTTCTGGTGTAACAGCACTGTGCAGGTGACAGGCGTGTTTACAGTGTGTGTGTGTGTGCCATGAAAGACGTTACAGCAGGAAAAGGGTGCGAAAATAAAGGTTTTCTTCTGGGTGTCAATGCCGATCGTACCATTTTCCGCTGCTGACAAAAGCCTAATGTTGGCGGGTCTTAGCAGGTTTTTTGACCAGTGGAAAAGGGGCTTATGAGTCGTAATAAGCGGCTTGCACAGACAAACTATGAGAGGACAGACTCTTTTCTTCCTTCTTTGTGGTGATATGTTATCTGACATTTTTTCCTCTTTTTGTATTCTTCTCTAGATATGAATGAGTTGGGATATTCTTTTGCTCTTTCACCTTTAGTGCTTTTTCTCCTCATCTTTAAAAGACCACAGGCTTCATGATGTAATATGGGACTGATTTGTAAAAAAAAAAAAGAAGCTTGCTTTTATCTCATGTCCCTAGAGGACCCTATAGTATAATGTGAGCCAATTTTCTATAATACTGGCATATTTGTTATTTATGTTTACAAATGAAAGAGCGCAGCATCACTTTTGTTTTTGTAATTGAGGAACTCGTTGACCTTAATTTGTATGTGCAACAGAAAGTCTAGCCCGTGTGCTCTAATTGGCAGGTTTTTTTTTTCGCAGGTGGAAGCCAGTAGCCTTTATATGTTCGCTGCTGTTTGCATGGTGCTGTTTATCTGTATGAATTTCTGCCTGATGAAGGTGTTGGACAGCGGGTGAATTTTTCTTTGAAGAAAGTGAAGTGAAGTCTGCAGTTTTTTGATCCAATGCACCTGCCACTAAGACTCCAAGGTGTGCAGGAACTTCTCTGAAAGTACGACCTCAAAGTGCAAGGACTAAATCTACAGTCTCAGAAACTGCAACAGGGATGAGGAGAGAAGAACGAGCGCGGGGGGGAGAGCATGTGCTAAATGACGAATGAGGATGTCTCGATGCCTCCTCAACGACGTGACAGATATCACTCTCCTGCGTGGATGACATTATGCACCACCACTTGATGAAGGGCACGGGAACAATCAGAAACAGTGAACACAAATCCTCCATGTTACCGTCTACATTTCACTCTTTATCAGCGCTGCTGCATGTTTGCGTCATGATTCAAATAGCTGTTATGACGTCTTTGCTGTTGTTGATATTATCTGTCACACCGTTAAGTGTGTATTTGTCTAGTTTATGTCCCTGTTTACTGTTTCATATTCTATATTTTCCCCTGTATCCTTCTGCAAGCTGTTTGCAGTTTTCTCCCAATTCCTTAACAATAGGTCCTTTTAGTTTTTACCAGATTGTCATTATGAAGACAAATTTGCTCTTAATTGATTCTCTCAGTTAAAAAAAACAAAAGGGTGGTTTTCTTTCCTTTTCTTGTTGTTGTTTTGTTTTGTTTTAGCACAACAACCAGTTGTATTTATAGCAAATAATTACACGGTTTAAACACATAAATCTGATGTTCGGCATTCACATGTTTCAATGTGCACAGTGGAGCTTAAAGATCAGATCTGAGGAAGAAATCGTCTACTATCTGAATACAGGCACATAAATAAAGACACAGACAGCGCGCTAACACAGGAGACAGACAGTAAAATAAGGGATGAATGGACGTGTTCGTTTATAGAATGAGTCTGATAAGTAATACTCAGACAGAAATAACTGTCTGGAGATTTGAAGGGCTAATTGGCCCTCTGGAGGATTGCGCAACACCTGACCTATACTGGGGGGAAAAAGGAGCGGAACTTAACAAAATAATGATCATCGCCGTAGTTTGGATGTGTCATCCAAAAGTGACTGTATCATTAAAAAAAGGTTTTAAATGACATTTACAGAAAAAAAAAAAAAACTTCCCAGGCATTTTCAGGAATATTACTGCAAGGAGCAGATGACAAGCTCAGTAATTAAATCTAAAAACATCAACCTATGATTAATGACCACTTAGCTTATGAGTATGTTGAGCCAAAGCTAACATGCACGCAGCTCTGTGGTTTAAAGGCAGGCAGGTGGAAACAGGAGGCTGCTGAGGAATACTAAGGCAAATAGAGGAGCGGCACGTTCTCCACGAGCAACATGCATCGTAGTTATTAGACAGATAACAAGAGTCAGTGCTGCTGGTGGGAGTGTGTGTTCCTCTCATCCGATGAGAAAGAGAGAGATTGATGGAGGAAGGTGGTGTGGGTGGGGGGTGGGGGGGGTGATATGTGTGACTGACAGCACCTGAGGATGCCGGCAGTGAGACGCAGCTTGGGTCTTATTCGTGTCTCTTCCAAAACAATACAATCACACGCTATCACTGCCTCAATTGCTACCTACAGATTGAAATAAGTCTTGATGGAAGACCATCAAGGAAGATCAGAATAAAGGATTGGGCAGAGCGGTCGCGCATGGGATGTTAATACAGGAACGGAGGAGGGGGGCGGAGGGGGGGGGGATCTGCACAAAGAAGAAACAGAGAAAAGAAGCAAAGAAGCTGATCCAATTGAGCAAAGCCGACTGATGGGGACAGCTAAGGACACACACTCACACAAACAAAGAGACAAGGCAGCGCGGAGGTATATTAAACTGGAGGCCATTAGTTCTAAGCCTAAGGCCTGAGGCCATGCTGAGCAGAATAGAGCTAGCTTTCATTAGCAATGCCGGGTTAGGGTTGCACGGCCACGTATTTTCCCCCTGTTGGTCTTTTGAAGTTTTCATTTATCACTAAAAGTATTCTCTGCCGTGATAAAAATAAGGCGAACTTCAAGGGGACAGGAATAAAAAGCAAAGTTTGACCCCATTAAAGAGCTAATTTCAGTTATTGTATATGCTGCTTAGATCCTCCTCAGCTTTCAATGAAGATCACCTAAGCGTTAAACTACGACTCTGCCCTGATGGGGTAACGCTTTGTCTGTGGGTTTTATGAGCAATAATGCAGCCTGAGGGGTGATGGCACAGTGCTGCATCATCTTTAAGGGTATGTTAATGAAGTCTCATTCACAAGTGTCTTTACCAACATCTTAACATATGGTGTGACACCGGAAAACAGAAGCAACGCCCGTCCTTGAAATGAAGTACATACAGTACCGGCGCTTATATCTATGACCTCAGCGAAATATTGTAATGAAGTTAATAAAATACAGTGACACGTAGCTGCCAGGGAAAACGATCTAAAAGCTAAAAATCTCATCACTGACTCAGGCTGCCTTCAGGTACTGCTTCTTTCTTTCATTGCACTCACATTTTTTAGTATTGTGTGCTCAGACGCAGGAGGGTCTGGCTGTCACATAAATGACACATAATCATAACTGGCAATGGAAGGTTATAAAAAAAGTTGCTGGAGACTTGGCAACTATAAATACTTTGCCAAAGAAAGACTGAAAGGAAGACTTTTACGTGACCGGTTCTTTATAGAGAACAACCCACAGAATGTGTTTTACAATCTAATGTGTGAGCTGAACACGCACCAGAACAAAAACACGCCAAAAATCTCCCAGAATTCAGTACGACGACTGTAATTAGCTGATCCTGCTGGCAGGATTTCAGAGGTGTTTTACTTGTAAACATCCCTGCTGCTATTCAGAGCCGGCTGACCCGGGTCCCATGCATTTATCAAAGGGGAAAATATGAGGGGAAGGTACCTCCCCAAGGTTTGACCTGTGCACGATCTCAAGATACAGCTCTGTTTTAGCAAAGCTTCTGCCAGACACTCGACCGCCTGAAGAATGCAGAGCAGCGAAGAGAAGTCTGAACGGGTGGTGAAACACGGAGGCTCGACAGCCAGGTTGTATACCTCCATTACCTGCACTTAAATCTGAACTAAAGTCTGAACTGCAGAGACAGTGTGTTCGCCCAAATACACCTTTGCTGTGTCAATAAAAAAATAAAAATAAATGAATAAATAAAAAACATGGAACAGTATGACGCCATACTCAGTGTCTGACATACTCCTGGAGGTAAAAGTACTGTACAAAAGTTCTGATTCAAAGTCCTCCCTCTGCAGCAAAACACACTTCAAGTATGAAAAGTAAAAGCACTGTTTGTGATGTATTATTATGTTTCACATATTAACTTTATTTTACAAACAGGTGCTGTAGATAGTTTAGTGCAGTGGGTCCTGACGTGGGGATTGGGGAAGAAGAAATAACTAAATCCTAAATCCTCCTACAGAAATTCAGTTTTGTTATTTAAATGAAATTATCTTAGAACCATCTTTGCTGAAAGTGCTAACAGCTCATAAACATTTGAAACACAACAAGAGGCCTGAGGCTAGACACTAGTTTTTGGTGACAAGCCAAAAAGAGGCTGATTTAATCTTAAATAATGTTTGACTTTACAATCATAATCACAACTTAATGTGAAGCAACTACTGTCAGATCAATGCAGTAAAAACACATTTTTCTCTCAGTCCTTCGTTAATTTCCTGCACACATACTCTACTTGCTACGACATATGTCCGACACACCTTTTGTAATAAGCCTAGTCTATTTAAGCTGTCAATGCCCACTCTGTTGATCTGCTAATATCACACTGCCGCTGCTGCTGCTGCTGCTGCAACACTAATTTGCTAACCCAATCCACAAGAGCTTTGTGGAGGCATAACCATATTTGCGTCGTGCCTTCTGCTGCTACATCCCGCGACTTGGTTCGCTTGTCATTTATCATATTAGCAGTTACGGCTAATCGGCTTGGCCACAAACACACACATCACATCTCAAACTGAAAATGCACTTTCCCTGCTCCGGTGTCAGAAGCCTGTGACTCTCCCCCAAAGGTTTTACTCCTCACTGAGATCCCATGCATCACTGCTCCACTTCACCAGGCTAAATATTTGCAGCTCGTGCTAATATGTGCTTCGGCAGTCGATGTATTGGCTCCGCTCAGTCTGTGTTTGTGTGCCTGATAACACCAGTAGCCATTAGCTGCTGATACTGCTGCTTGTTTTATTGCTCTCCTGCAGATGTTGATGCCTTTGCTTTTGCTTGGTGCTAATTTCTGCTAATATGCTGCTGCCATCTACATCTAAGTGGAGTAATTGCATTGATATCAATAGTGACTTAAGTTCTTGAGGTCCTTTTATTTTAGTTGTGAGTTAATTGCTGAGATCTGAAGACGTCACATGATGTCACATTTGTTAGAACAGGGCAGCGACTAGTGCTGGAAAGTATATTTCCTCAGGCACTTCATACTCTTACTATTCTACATCTCTGACAGATAAATTTAATACTTTTTAACTTTACTACATTTAGTTCAAGGGTTTAGTTACGTGGTAAGTTGTAAAAGAAACCAAACCTGCAGTTATATTGGTGAATAACCACAATTAAATTAAACAGAAATAGATAAAAATCCAGGTTATAAAAGCTGCAGTATCACTGACAAGACACACACGAGTCTGAGCTTCATATCAACCTCTTCAGCTGCCAAAAAACAAACAAAAAACATCAGTAGTTGATACACGGACTCACGTCTCTGACACTGAGGTCACATGGATCTTACCCAGAAGTGTGATGATGCAGCCTAAAATAGCCAGGAGGGCGCCGGTGCTCAGGCCGGTCGCTGTGTAGGCCACGGCTCCGCAAGACAAGGCCACGCCGTCGGAGTCACAGTCGCACACGCGCACCGAGAGCGTGTTGGTGCTGCTGAGGGCAGGACTTCCACTGTCCACGATCAACACGGGCAGCCGATAAACAGGCTGCTCCCGTCTCCTGAAACCGCCTCGCTTCGTCAGTATGGACGCCGTGTTGTCTGCAAACCAGAGCGAAAGCAGACACTGGTCAGACATGTGAGGGAACAAAAAAACAAACAACAACCTGGATTTCATTTGAATATCAAGTTAACAATGAACTGCATATGTATACATATATATTTATATATATATATGACTAGCAGGAGGCTTAACTTCTGTTCTGTAACACTTGCTGTGCAGTTTGAAATGATTTTACTGTGTTATAAGCAGAAATGCCAACAGATGGTGTCATTAACACAATTCATTACATGGCACACTGTGGCGTCTCTCCCTGGTCTTGACCACCTGTTGGCTGATAACAGCTTTGGTTTGATGGCGAGATCTTATATGAAATCTCAGTGTATGAGAGACAGCGAGGCAGCCAGAGGAGAACAATGCAAAAAAAAAGGCTATTTCATGACAACTATATCAATAGATTGAAATGCACTTTCAAAGTGTGCAGTCACAATTGAAATGTAGATTTTCCCTTGAAGGATAACTCCTTTGTTTTCCTGAGTGATATTCAGATTTCTCTCAGAAGTCTAAGAACAAGGTGTAAATGAATATAGAGATGGGTTCTTTTGTAAATGCCACATTAGTAAATCAGCAAAAGGCTCTTATGGGTGAAGAAGAACACATAACAGCCGCGGTGGGTTTCGAAATAAAACACCTCAAATCGTAAATAAATATGTTCTTGCAAGTGTGAGACATTTGTCCTCAAGGGACATCTGTGTGCAGCAGGGCAGTAATCGCATACAAGTAAAAATAAGACATTAACACAGGGCAAGTATATAAGCACCTGAACGTAAACCTTAGGTGACAGCTGAGTAATTAACTCTAAATCCAATGTTTTCAGACTTTCCACAAGATTTTGGAGCCATGGCTGCAGGGATTTGCTCCCATGGTCGCTGTTGTTTGGAGAATGAGGCGCGGCTCGCAGTCGGCAATCCAGTTCATCCTAAAGGTGCCGGGTGTGGTTGAGGTCGCCAGGCTCCGCAAACAATTTCTTCAGGGATCGTACTTTGTGTAAAGGCGGAGGGAGTTTCGGAAACAAAGCGTTTTTGTTTACCTGACCTCAAAGGCCCTCAAAACCCTTTTTTTTCCCCAATCAGGTTTTTACTTAAAGCGACGAGTTTCTATACGAACACACCGTTTTCACTTGGGAGATTTGTGTATTTATTGTTTTCCCTGTGCTCCTCTCAGTGATACAGCACATTCAGAGATCTGTTTTACTTGGATTCTTTGCTTAATTAGACAAAATGTTATAATTAAGTTTTTTTTTTTAGCAAGCCTGGCTTCTGTCTAAAGTTTCAAAAATTCCTCTAAAGCTCACTAATTAACACATTACATTTTGTTTGTTTAAGCCGTACCCAAACAGAAAAGTTAAAATGACAAGTTGTTACAGGAAGTTAACCATTTCTTGGCTTCATGAGCTTCGTACCAAACCGACTCATACGAGAGGGGTATTGATCTTCTCATCTAACTCTCGGCAAGAAAGTGATTTTAATCATTTCCTAAAACTGGTCCTTAACTTCTAAAGTGCAGTGCTACTTCCTTCGGGCAGATTGGAGTGAGAGTGGAGTGAGTCGCTATCGGAAAACGATCGGCTGAGGCTAGCTGGTTAGCATGCTAACTCCAGTAGAGTGAACAATGACGTTACCTTCCACCACTGGAGACAGCTGTTGGTGAGTTTAAGGAATGAAGCTTGATGCAGAACTCACAACAGTTTGCATGGACTTTCTCCACCTTCATTTAACAGAGGGCTGACAGTGGCACTGGGTGACCACTAGAGGGGGTTTCATTTTGAACTCAGTGTGCTGCAAAATGTATTTATCTTTTTATTTGTGCACTTTATATTTGTTGTAGTGTATCGTGACTTGGAAACATTTCATCTAGACTGGTAAGTAAACAGCTGTTAATGCTAACGTTAGCTATGTAGCAATAGTTAAAACGTACAAATAGCTCCTTTAACCGTCCTGTTAAAATGAATATTGTCAAAAGAAGGAATTTTGAAATGAACATAATCAGGCCTTTTTGCAAAACTGTCCAACAGCTACACTATTGCCTGGTAATAGGGTTGGATGTGCTTACATACACACACTCATAGTCTAATCAAGGTAAACACAAGGTGGTGTCTGCTCGCAGCAGAACCTTTCCCTCCACAAAGCTATCAAAAAACTGTCTTCCAGCCAAGTTGCTCTTAATCTGCTGAGAGGTTACCTCAAACATCCAGTTCATCATGTTAACACAGGTCTGCACTCGCACGGATTACTGTGGCAAAACCTGGCTGCTGCCGCCGCCACCGCCGCTGCCTCTGAAATGTAACGTGGCAGCCTTAGCCGATGCAAAGCGGGGCATTACTTCAGAGAGTGCATCAGCTCTGCAAATGTTGTTAAAGCAGCGGGGATTCATTTAAGTAAGTAATGATGTAGTCAGGGGTAATTTTTTTTTCTGGACTTTAAAGCTAAAGTTTTCCCACAGGAGAAGGAAATGTTTTTTTCATCTGCCCACTGCTTCACATGTAGGTGGTGAGCAAATCACTATAATACAAAGGCAGTTTCAGTTTGTTAGCTGAGGTTAAGTTATTCTGTGATATAGCATTCAGAGGGCCGTGCACTAAGCAAAGCGAGGCGGCTGTGGTGTTGAAGACTGTGGCACAAACTGAGTGCTCCAGTTTTGCTGAACATTTAGAAAAGAAAGGGAAGAAAGGGCGTTGTCATAGCAGAATTATGATTTCATTTGGCAGAGCCGCGGGCTCGCCGGCAGGCACCGGTTACTCTGTACTTCTTCTCCAGAGTCAGATTGCAGAGTAGATTGCGTCCAGATGCGGGGCAGATATACAGAGCCGGAGTGAGCAATGGCCAAAGTGTCAATTGCATTGCTGCCAGGCTCAATTCGAAGGAAGTAAGCAGCAAATATACCGTACCTAACTTGACCAACACCTTTAACGGACTCCGAGGGCCACTGGCAATTCTCTCAAGGGAGGTTTTGATTTAGAAGCTGCATTTCAACAGGGCTGATCTGATACCTGGAGCTTTGACAAGGACGTAGAAATGTAGTTTAAAATTGGTGACTGACTCCAGGCTTTCTGCAGGGTTCACCAAGTTGAATTTAAGACTTTCTTCTTTCTGGATTTACTGCAGCTTGTGCACAGAAATTATTATCTTGTACACATAAGAACAAAAGAAATCAAATACACTACTTTTACTTTAGATGCTTGAATGATACTGAATGCAGGATTTCAAACCTGAGCACTGTTCAAAGCCTGTTTCATATCATACTGTCCAAAAAAATGCAAGTATGCTGCAAAACCAACATTGACAATACGGCCTAGAATGATTTATTATTATATCACATTTTTTTCAGAACTTCCCAGCAGTTTAGAACAAAAAAAAAAAAAAAATTAATGATCTTATCAATTAAATTAATGCAACTTGGACCGAGATAAGCAGCAGAAAATGCATGGCTGGATTAACCAACGAGAAATTAATTTAAGTTTTGGCTAAAAACTGTAGCTAGCAGCAGTGAGTCATGTTTTCCTGCTGGTTTATAATCTTGTTTATAAGTGTATACCATCTCCCGGCAGCACACAATCAAAGTGCAAAAAACATTTTATAACTTACATTACTGCCTGTGGTAAGCAAGAGCATTTTTTTAATACCTATAAGGCTTTTTTCTTGAGGAAACTGAACTCAACGGGTTGTGTTCAAGCCCCTGCAAATCCCCCGGACTTACAGATTTCTGTGTGAATTGAGCCGAGAGACACATCCCTATAACCACAGATAATCACAAAATAACAGTAAGAAAATGTAGCCCTGAGGCAATATCAAAGCATTACAAAGAGGATGTTGCACCTTTGTTATCTCGCAGAGTGAAGTTGAGGTTGCCGGCAACAGGTGCAGCGAGGGCGAAATAAAAGCGGTGACCGCTCAGAGGTTCATCCTTATCCACGGCGCTGACGGTCTGGATCACCTGGAGACAACGGGGAACACAACAAGACCCGTCAAGATCAGTTACCCCCGCTGATCCTTATCCGATCTCACCGGCTGATTGGGTGTTAACTCGAGCTGTAAATTGTTTAATGTAAGCATGCAGTAAGAACTGGCTGTTGTTGTCGCTCATGGTATCAATTTGAGGAAAGTATTGTCGTCAAGCCTTTTGTATATGCATCACTTTTCACTCTGTCACAGATTTATATACACAGGGGCATTAATCTTGCTTAAAAGGCAAAGCAACAGTGGGAGTAAACTGGAGAAAATCTGCTTGATTCTGATTGATGGAAAAGATTTTCTTTATAATGTTTGGCTGTGGTTTTCTGTCGTTTATCTCTTCAAGTACAGTAAGTGCTTATTTGGCAAGAGCTTGGCAACCTCTTAAGGATGAAGTGTTTTCTTTTGGGAATTGATTTCTCCAAAGCAAATCATTCTCCAGCGGTTACTCTCTCATTCCTAGTCCCTAGACCAAAACACATTTTGGTGATAATGTTTAATACCAACCCTTTAATGATCCCGCCCTGAAGATACCACAGAAAAACACACAAACTTTTTGACAGTTTTTTTAGCTATAACAAAAATCTATTATTATTTTTTCAACTGAACACATTGTTTTGAAATTATTAGCCTCGACCAAACAGCTAAGATGTCAATTTATCTGTCCAATTATGCTTTAACTCTTAGGCTTTAAACACTAACCCCAAGAAATAAAGCATTTTACATACAACATAAAAAAATAAACATCTTATTAAAGACGCGTTTGAAATGAATAAAGGTCTCTAATAGTTGATAATAGTCTCTTTTTATGGCAAGTTTACCCCACACACTTCAATCTGGACACACTCTTTGGGCAGAAGTTGCAAAACCACCAGTGATCAGAGTGAAGTTCGTCAATGTCCACCTGTTATTGCTATCTTTACACAATTAATGCACATTTCTACCCATTTGTAGAGAATGTTAGTTCTGAAAAGTCCACCAGAAACAGGGCACATGCTAATGCTCGATTTCGGATGGGATCATCATCACAGAGGGAGGTCAGGAATGAAATATTCACTGTGCCCTGTTCCAGACGGCGATTTAACCACCAGGAAATTACAGGATGTGGTCTGTGATGGACATGGACATGGTCAGAAAGGACAAAGCCAGAAGAGAAAGACAAAAAAAGATTCCCTAAAGGAGGGGGGGGGGGCGTAGGAGAGTTGAAGCGGAGGTGCACAGGCAAAGATACTGTGTGAGGTGAAGACATAGACATGAAATACATATTGTTATCATTCACTCTGACAGGATATGATTATCTCCCATATCCATCTCGAATAAATAAAACAGTTTAGAGCCGGCCGGAGAATCATCACAGTGTCAGGTTTTTCTTCAGGATCTAAGTAATCCAGTGATCGTTGTCTGCGCATCAAAGGAAACAGCGACAAACAGGAAATGCAAATAGATAATTCGGCTTAATTTTAATGGCGCCAATTTGCCTGTGTGTGTGTGTATGTTGGTGTTGGCATGTTTTCTAAATGAACAGAAACATATTTGATATACTTACTAAAACTCAATGTTACACTCACCTGATTAAAGAAGAAGGAAAGAAAAACAGTGGAAGGTCGAGCAGCTCTCACCAAGGAAAAGAAAAAATCTAACTATTTTTTAAAAAATACAAGTGCACCCCTCTGGATGGTATTTAAATTACTGAAGGACCAGCGGGTCAGGTTTCCTGAAAACCAGTATGTAATTATGGCTCTAATTATGACTGAGGTGAGGGGGGAAAAAATTACCCACATTACCTTGCTCTGGACAGGATTAAAATCACTGACCAGCGCAGGTAACGTCAAAATCACCCCAGATCCCCTGAGTCTGAACGATGAATGATTTTTCTACCACTAACTATTAAATCACCAGAAAAGGTCACACTCCATATTATTATTTTAATTATTATTATTGATAACGCCTTTACCTATGGGTATTACTATCACTATTTTCACTATATCAAGAATTTTCCTCCCCACTGTTGCTCACTGTGGGAACTGTTGGGTTCCTCTTTATAACACTGTAAAGAGCCTCGAGATAAAGTTTGTTATGATTTGGCGCTATGCAAATAAAAGTGAATTGAATTGAATTGAAAGGTTAGGGTTACCCGGGAGAAGCAAAAATACTTTGACCGAGGGCGAGAAAAGGTTCAACCAGGTTGAGTTCAGAACGACGAACTGCTTAACAACAAGCTGAGTCGACCATTAAAGGGTTAATGCATGTATTCTAATATCTAAAACACAGACCTGTCTGCCATATGAGAAATTAAGGTAAATGGTTTATAACTAGTTTATTAATTTCATAAAATAAACAATCATACTTAAGTGGTAACGAAATGAACTCCGTGTCAGGTCAGTCCAGTGAACGCGACGCTGGTGCTGTTCAAAATAAATGCACATGCCATGCAGTCAGGCATTCCTGCTTCATTATTACAAGTATGAAAATGACTCATGATAAGAAGCGCTCTTGCTTGAGGCAATGCAAGACAAGCATTCATATCTGCGAGTTAAACAAGTGAACGCTTCGGCCCACTTTATTTCGCCTCTGAACACAGGACTAAACAGAATCTTGCTTCCTTTATTATATGGCAGTGTAGACAATTAGAAAATCAAATTACCAAATAAACCAATTTATTTACACCCACCAGCATGTGCTGTAATGATTCTTTTCTTTTTTTTATTCATACAAACATGTTATCTGAAAATAAAGTTATCTCTTTTCAGCAATATATAAAAAAAAAAACAAACAAACAAAAAAAAATAAACTGGAGCTTTAATTTCAGCATCATCTGTGCAGCGGCGCTTAGCTGCTGCAAGAATATATAAAAAGAAAAAAAAAGAGAAGGAGGCAGCTCACTCAGTACATGCTGTACAGCAGAAGCATATCACACAAACATGCCATATGGACGACAAATGATAGCCAACGCGACGGCCATCAAAGTGGGTGTTACTGCAGCAGTGTCCCTATAAATTTAGATCAAGCCTCCCGAGTCCTTTGTAGGCAATCTAGAAACTCAACCCTGTGACAACTCACACCCGTGGACGGGATCCAAGAGACTCTTAAAAGCAATTCACACTAAATTATCACATATCCCAGCCCCAAACAGCTCTGTCTAACATCAAGACAAAAACAAAATTAAAGAAAAAAAAAGGGCGAGGAAGAAGGAAAAAAAAATAAAAGCCAATGATCTATCAGTGCTGAGACATGGATTATCAGTTGTCAGCTGTGATTAAATGCTGTTGGTTACAAGCTGTCAGGTATTAGGGGTTGGAGTAGGTGGTAAACGACATCCTGCCAATTATTAAAACTGGCAGGCGGGGTGAAAATTCATGAATATTTTACTCTGTTTCTTAACAAAATTAAAACAGTTGCTCTCTCATCAAGAAAAGTAATCACAAAGTATGCTTCTTTTTTTTTTTTTTTAATTTACTGTTTGGTTTTTGCAGCGCAAGGGAAATGTATACGGTTAAAAGGTTATCTGCTCGAGTTCGAGAACATTTGGGATATCTGGAGTTTATATAGACAGAAGTGATGTTTGTGTCAGCAGCAGATCAGTGACAGGTAGACGCAACAGTCGAGCACGTAAACATGCAGCGTGTGCATGCTCGGCTGCATATCATGAAAGCCGCCATTGATTCCGGGATTATAATAACTCACATGGCTCTCACTCTGTTATGGAAATTACACATCTGATAGAAACCTTTCTTTGTGGTTCTTACACCGATGATGAATCCTATACACAATTTGAACCCTTTGATGTCCTTTGAATATTGCAGATGGATTCTGAGCTTATCTCCAGGACGGTTTCCATCCCTCACTGCTGAGGGAAAGGACTGTAAATCATTCTTAAATCAAACACTTTGTAATGTATAATGCCTTTCATTAGTGTGGCTCTGATGCAAGGCGTTCCAGAGAACCTTTGGTGGGGAATTCTCTAATGGGCTGAGTAGGAGACAGGAGGAGAGAGGCATGGATGTAGACATAAATTCTCGCTGAGAGACATTAACAGCGGCAGCAGACTGGTGCCTGTCGCAAGGCAAGACTGAGGAGGCCTATGAATCACAGAATTAAAGGTTTTTTGAGTTTACACATGGCTGCACGTCAGATCAAAAAGGACATAAAAGGACAGAGGTGTCTCCATTTGTGGCTTTTGGTGAGTGAGGAGGAGAATGTGCAAACAACAGAGGCAGGCAGCCACACACACACACACACACACACACACATACACTGGTACTTGCAAATCTAATGCGGATGCATGGTCCACATGCATTGATTAGTCAAGTTTCCATCCAAATACTGAGCAAATTATGTAAAAAATCATTGTAAACTACTGTTATGTGAATATTAGGCATTAAGCAAATCCAGATAAACAGTTGGTGGTGCCAGGAAACAATGCAATCGAGATGAACATTAAAGTTCCTCTCCAGACATGTTTTACACTGTAAAGAAAATACTCCACATGAAGGAGTTTTTGAGGAGTTTATTGTGAACACAATCGGCGACTGGAAGACGTATCAGAACGGTGAGCTAGTTATTCGTTTATGCTGTTTGTTAGATCGTAGCTAGCAGTGGCGGACAGAGTGTTAGCTGCTGTGCTAATGCTAACTCTCGCTCTCTGCACCGACAAGGTTTCGGTGACCGGTGAAAGAGCGGTGCTTATCCAGGTAGCATTAGAGGAAGCATCAAGCTACGTGTTTGGTTCCTTAGTCTGTCTTCTTAGAGACTGTCATTGGTTCGCTGCAGTTCCAAGCTGGAAATACACTTGATTTTCCCTGGAGGGGGTCTTTCATGTTACACAAGGAGATCTGCCATGTGCTGAAAACCTTTGAAGAAGTCAGGCAAATTTCAAACTGTGAAACCCTTTTTTTCTGTCTCGAAAACAGTGATTCGCAACATTTTTGACCCCGGTGACCTCTTAAAATGAGGCAATATCTACCATGTCTCAACTGACACTGG